GAAGTAGTTCTTTACGGGGCTTATCAGATTGAAATCGACTGGGCATCAAAACCATGGAATCCTTTTGAAAGGTGGGATAGTAAACAGAAATTGTTTAATAGGGGGATTTGCTGATCTAGGTTTATAATCTTTTTGGGAATTTATTCTAAGGCTTTCATACCTACTCTGCTCCTGACTGGCTCACTCAGTGACTCAGTGTTATCTGATGAGGGTCTTATTTCACTTTTGAAAGCAGAGTGTTGTTCTCTTTGTTGGGATATTAGGGGGTAGCAGGAAAAGATTGACTTTAGGCAATGCAATATAAAACCCACCCATCCATCTCGAAATTAGAGAGTACCCTGCATGCAATATAAGTTCTCCCCCTTGCAATTCGTAAAGAAAATGTTTATTTTTTAAGCACTTAACTATCCATCCTACCTAAACATTCTTTAAATATTGGGGTAAGGACCTTACAAAGCACTCTCTATGAATTCATTTATAGTTTGCTTAATTTTTTTTTTAGTGGTTTGTAAGAGGATTTTGGACACTATTTTTGTGAGAGGTAGGCCTGGACCTGTGCATCCTCTTGAGCCACAAATTTTCACATTACTATGTCCTTTAACTCTGAAAAAATGATTTGCCTCTGTTTTGTGTGTTGTTGGTTTTTAATGTTTTTTTTTTAATATTGATTTTAGGGAAAGAGGAGGGAGAGGGAGAGAGAGAAACATCGATGTGAGAAAAACATCGATCTGCTGCCTCCTATACATGCCCCCCTACTGGGAATCAGGCCAGCAACCTGTGCATGTGCCCTGAGTGGGAATCGAACCAGAGATCTTTCAGTGCATGGGACGACACCCAACCAACTGAGCCACACCAGCCAGGGCTGCCTCTGTTTTGCTGGTATGATATGACCACATGCTTTTTCTCTCTCATTGGGATCCTGCTGAGTGAGAAATTGGCTTGGTATGGGGTGGTCTATAAGATTTACATTAGCGCCCGGCCGGGCGTGGCTCAGCGGTTGAGCATTGACCTAGGATCCAGGCGATGGGGGTTCGATTCCCAGTCAGAGCACATGCCTGTGTTGCGGGCTCGATCCCCAGTCGGGGGCTCTCATCATTGATGTTTCTATCTCTCTCTCTCCCTCTCCTTTTGTCTCTCTGAAATCAATAAAGATATATATATAAAAATTTTACATTAGCTATTCCAATTCTGTGTTTGGTGAGAGTTGAATACTCTCTACCATTACTTGATAAGTTTTCAGACTGTGTTTCTGATTTATCTTATGTTGTTGTTATAGGTTCTAGACTGACTATTTAAGGCAATATCTTGTTAATTCAAGCAGCTGAGCTTTATGGGTTGCAAGACTGAGCAGTTCACTTGAAGGAATGATTTTAGCTTTGAGACTTGAGTCAATGAATCCTGAAACTTATTGGTTAATTAGATTAGCATGTGCCTGGCAAGTACAGCAAGTCTACAAGAGGCTTGAGGTTACAGCAAAGCTAGTAATGTCTTTCTATGACTACTTCCAGTGCTCTTTTTTTTTTCTTTTTTTAATGTTTTTATTGGTTTCAGAGAGTGGAAGGGAGAGGAAGAGAGAGAGAGAAACATCAATGATGACAGAGAATCATCGATTAGCTGCCTCCTGCACACCCTTTACTGGGGATCCAGCCTGAAACCTGGGCATGTGCCCAGACTGGGAATCAAACCATGACTGCCTGGTCCATGGGTCGACGCTGAATCACTGAGCCACACCGGCTGGGCTACTTCCAGTGCTCTTGTGTAGTGGACCTCCTCCAGCCCCAGCCCCAGCCCCAGCCCCATGTATGTGACACAAAGCAGAGAACCATTGGTCATAATTGGCATGCAGCTAATAGCTTCATAGCTTATTTGACACCACAATGAATGAGGAGATACTGAAATATTTGTTTTTAGGCACTTTGACTTGCTTTCTGAGATGTAGCATGACAACTCCAAAGACTATTTAGAATTCTAATTCTTTACAAAGAATATTTATTGTAAGAGCTTGTAGAGTACACTGCTTGACTCACAGAGGTAGGTTCATACTTGTCAAGCAGGTTTATACAACACTGGAAAATGAACAGGACTTACTTAATTAGTGTGGCCAGTCTTTTACAACAGTTCATTTTAGTTGAGTTTTTCTTAGAACTTGACTTAAAATGATAACAAAACTCTGGTTACATGTGCCATGATGGTGGATGTCATCTTTCTTTTAAGCATATCATAGTGTCTGTAGTCTAAAGCAACATTAAGGCTCCGTGTATATTTATTTTAAATTTTCAAATTAGTTGCTAAATTCCTCTGGTCTTAGGTTTCTCAGTATGTAGTCACCACCTCACCTGACCCTTCACAGGCTGCTATTTTCTCGTCTTCCTGCCATCCCTGCCACCCGCCAGCCCCATTTCTTCTCTGAACACAGCTGGTCATATAGTCACAGAGAGACCACTATGTGCCAGATACTGTGTTAGGATCTTGCAGAACTATGACCTGGTGCTTGCCCTCAAGAGGTCAGAGTTTGTATAGGTGCATAAGTCCTATAGAGCTGTCTGAAAAGTACAAGTCATGGTGTGAGGTTGGCAGGGTAGGGACTGGGGAATAGTTGAAGGAAAGATATGGTCAGCTCTACCTGGAAGGATTAGTCTTCTTGGCTTCATGGTAATCCTGGAGCAGAGACTTTAAGAACAAGTTCCCCTGGCAGTGGAGGACTTGGGAAAGTAATGGGGGACATTGTCCAGGGAATGGAGAAAGTAATCCCTGTTTTGTGTGTTGGCTCTTATGAGAAGCGAGAGTGTCCTATTGGGGAATTTGGTGAGTATAGATTTAAAAAAAGATCTAGGAGAAGCAGCAGCAAGACATTGTGTTTGCTGCTAGACGTGGTAGACATGCTGCAGTTTGGGAAGGAGGTGCAGAGGTTGGATCTGTAAGGAAGTGAATGAACATCTTGGAACAGGTATGGTCAAGGGCCTCAAGGTCTCGGTGAAGTCAAAGAGCTAGTGAAGGTGGAGGAACTAGTCAAATGGAAAGGTGTTCTCAGAGAGGTCGATATAAAGTGAGGAATCTGGCTTTGAAAAGAGCCCGGGTGTGACCAGGAGCATATATTGCTAGGAGGCCCTATTCTTGGATCTCTTCCCTCTCTTTGTACTGTCTTTCCTTGGGCAGTATCATCCCCACTGTCTCTCACATATAGCCAGCCCGAATCACATGCCTCACCTCCACACCACTTTATTCAGTGGCTTAAATTAACCACATTTGTAGCTCAAGGAAACTCTGATGGAAAACCTTTTAAAACCAACCTGCCCATGTTGAATTGATAATTCTTTAGTATCCAGTGTGTACCTCATAAGACTCTTCTCACCCATGCCTCTTTATAGTCATGTGCTTACATGGCTTTGTCTCTTAAATAATTAGTAAGCCACTTGAGCCCACAGGTTGAGTTTGCTTTTGTTTTGTCCTGGGTAAGCCAGAAAAGTACCTGGCACTCCTGTGTGCTAAGTATTTGTGGAAGGAAGGAGATAAGGGAGTTGAAATTGAGGGAAGGAAGGAATTTGAGACTAAAGAATTATACACTTTACCACATGAACTCTGAAGGTTATATAGGATGTAGCAAAAGCTGAAGGAGAGTTCTTGAGTACCTGTGGAGGTACTCAAGATGAGGAGGATGGTCGTGGTCCTCGGGATGGGAGGTAAGAACAGTAATGCCGAGAGGCCAGGGCAAGAACAGTGAGTATGAAACAGCCTTCTTCAAAGAAGTTGACATTTAGAGGAAAGTTTGATGACAATTGTAAAGCAGTGTCAGAGGGCACAGTGGGGAATGCGCTGGGAAAGGACTGAGCTGAGTCAAGATCTACTGAAACCATAACTTTGAGTAAATATTGCTTCTATGTGGGAAATATCTTTCCCACTTCATGAATGAGGGAAGTTTGGCTTAGAGTGGTTAAGTAGCATTCCCAATCCTCACATTCCTCCTAAGTGGGCCACTTATTTTATAGCCAAGGCAACACATGCTAGAAACCATCAGGTCCCCCAGGAGCATCAGAACCACTGTCTGGCCCGCTGGTGTGGCTCAGTGGTTGAGCGTCAATCCATGAACCAAGAGGTCACCAGTTCAATTCCCGGTCAGGGCCCACGTCCAGGTTGTGGGCTCGATTCCTGGTGGGAGGCGTGCAGGAGGCAGCTGATCGATGCTTCTCTGTCATCGATGTTTCTGTCTCTCTCTCCCTCTCCCTTTGTTTCGCTCTAAAAAATAAAAACACACACAACATATTTTTAATAAAAAAAGAACCACTGTCTGAACTCCTGAAAAACTGCCAGTTGAAGCCTTTCCTGAGCGACCAAGCACCTGCTGCCACTTGCTCAAGCCCCAGAAGTTCAAGCAGAACCATACTACCAGGCTGGGAGTCTGATGGGTTATACTGCTGCCTCCTGAAAACAGGGACTTGGGCTAAGGGTAAAATGCAGTAAGAAGGGGAGAGAGGAGAGGAAAAGAACACTTAAGTGTTAGGAAGAAGAATACTACTTAAAATTCCCAGAGAACATGTTTCAGTCTTCTAGATAACGTGTACTTTCAGCCTGAGTCAAGACGGTGAGCCGGGAGAGGAAGACGTGGATTACAAGAATACGTGTTTTGTTTATTGGGGAAAAACGTGACTCATGGGGGCTGTCGAACAGGGACCATCAAGAAGTTTTAAAATCTGGCGATACAAGGCGTTCTCACTCAATGGATTCTTGAGGTTGGATTCTCTTGCTTCTGTGAGAGAGTCTTTTCTTTTGTGTCGGATGGCGGGGGGACTTGGTGACCTTCTCAGGATGCTCTCTTCCCCAGAATGAGGAGAAGACTCGCTGCCTGAGCCAGTGGAAGACCCACCTGAAGTTGAGCAAGGAGAGGGCGTGGGCGCGGGAATGAGTGTCCTCCGGCTGATCAGATGAGAATGAGGAGGTCTCTGTGGTGCTTGTTCTTTGTTTGCTAGTTGCCTGGCTTATAGTCTGCCAAGGAAATGAGTGAGGAGGTGAGATGTGTGTAGCCTGGACAACCTGGGGTCCATATTTGCCCATTCATGGGACTCCAGTCCTTCTACCAAAAAGAACCCAACTGTAAATGCAAAGTTTCCATACTCATTAATACAGACACACAGTTTTTTGGCTCATAATTGTTAGCCTTTTCTTTGCTTTCCTATCTTCTCTCCCTCAGTGGTCTTTGGTATTTTCCCTTCAATTCCACCCTCGCTGTCACCCTTCTCTCACTCCTGGTCATGTCATACACCCAGAGGGCCTGCCCTGCTTCGTAGCAGGTAGCAGTGCTCCCTGTGTTCCACCCCAGCCCCTCCACCAGGCCTCTCCCCTGCTTGCCTCTGTGCTCACCTCAGCAAGTTCATGCTCCTGAAGCCTTGAAGGAATCTGTGGAAACTGGGTGACATCTTCTTTTTCTGGTGGGTTGAACATGGGCACGTCTTGATAAGTATCATGTTCTTGATGAGTGACCTGAGCCATATCTGGAGGGGTGCTGCTGTACAGCTGGAAATCTTCCTTTTGAGCAGATCTAGGGAACACAGATTCATCATCTTCATCATCTTTCTGATTTTCTAGAAATTCCTCAAGCCTTTGCACAAGCCCATCCAGTTTGCTGAGAGCCAATTGTGTCTTCCCTTTGGGGTACTTGTCTATCCACTGGTTGTCTCCATGTAGATCCCAACTAATGACTGAGTCGGAATGGTTACAGCCCGTATCAACATCCCAGGCCAGGGTGCTGCTGAGTTTGCAAAATTGCTCTGGGGCATCCCAAATTTGGTCTTGTCTCTCCAGGAGTCTCCGTATACTTTCAGTCTGCCATGACCCTTGGAAAGGAGGGACAGAATAGGTTGAAGGACCCTTGAGAGATGTGTCTTCACAGGAGAGTGTGTTCTCGTAGGAGGTGTCCTCATCAGGGTAATAACCCACAGAGAGGCTCAGGTTTGATTCAGAGCTGCAGTCCTCGGTGTCCGCACAATTGCTGCGGGAGAATGAGTCTGCCATGGAGTTCAGAGGCTCAGAATTTAGGTCGCCTTCATCTCAGGAATCTTGAAAAGAAAGAAAAAAATAGATGAGATTGGTGAGAAGAAGAGGGGTGTCATCATACTTAAGCAGGAATATTATCCATTCTTTTTTCTATTTGGAACTATCACACTCCGATAGAGGAAGTTCATCCTATTTTGCAATCTCCAATGAAAGACAAAAGAGGCAGCCCTCTCCCTTTACTTCTACTAAGCATGTTCACCTGATGCCTCACATCATCTTATTACAGTTGAAAGAACTTGTCTTATAAAAGAAAAATGATCATTGTATAAAATTTGAAAAATATGAAGATGAAAATAAATATGTCTATGATCCCATTTTCCAGAGATAAAAACATTTTAGTAGATTTCCTTATAATCTTTCCTTTTCATATGTTCACATAGTTAAACATATACATACTCCCTCCCATTCAACGGATATGATGTCATATCCTTTGGAACAGATTATTTTATGGTATAATATGCAACAGACATATATTTGGCTATTCCGTCATTTTTTACCACTTTCTTATTAATGACCATTAGGTGGTGGTGGTTATTTTAATAAATAAATCTGCATTAAACCCCCTTGTTAGTAAATCTTTGCCTCTCTTTATATTGCTGTATGTGGGCTTAATGGGTCAAAGATCACAAACATATTAAAGGCTTCTGATAGTTGATACCACATAGCTTTCCAGAAAGGTTATAGTCATTTAGACGCCCATCTTCCCACCATCTGATGGCACTTCTTTGTCCAGCTTTTTCTATGATGTCCCAGTAAGTAAGTGGGGGTGAGGGAGGAGGGCACACACACAGACACACACACGCACACGCACGTTGCAGACCCTGCCATTCTCTGCTCTGGTGGCTGCCCACGTGAAAGAGGTGATACCAGTTTAGCTCTAAACTGGGATGTTCAAAATCCTTCAGATCCTGAGCCTCAGTGGCTGAAAGTTAAACTGCCAGAAGTCAGTGTTCTGGGACTGTTGGTTACCACAGCAACACAAGGACCCGCCTCCCATTATAGTCAGAAAACTGGAAAGAGAAAGAAGGGATAGAAAGCCACAAGAGCTAGCCCTTGCTTCCAAAATATTCTGCCACCATCCCATCCTGGGCTGAAGAGGGTCCCTCCTGAGGGCAGAAGGAAGGTTACTTCTGCCATGGCAGTTGCTTCCCTCTTGTCGTGTGGATGTCTAAGATGGTTGCTATTTTAAGGGACTTTAGAGCCTATTTGGTGAGATGGACATAAACACCCTATTATAGCACAGAGAGGTAAGCACAGCAACAGAACTTAAAAATAACAGTGTGGAAAAATAGGAGGAGGCACCTCATGCACCATGTTGAGATTGGGGTGGGGTGGGGGTCAGGAGAAGCCTCCTGGGGGACATTGCTTCTCACATATTTATGAAGGAAAAGGCTAGTGAGGGGAAAAGCAGGGGTATGGCTGGGGAGAGAGGGTCTTTCAGGCAGAGGGGATGGCATGAACAGGGACACCGAGGTGAGAAACAGCCATAATGTGTAGAGAGATCTAGCAGGGGTCAGTGAGATCATGGAAGAGCCCCCCACACAGAGCCTCCCCCACGCCCCCCTCCATTTAGGGAACTTGGATTTTATCCTGTAAGCCTGTACTTGGATAGTAGAGTTCATTTATCAGGCCCTCTTCCAGGTTAATTCAGAGTACATTGAAATAATGGACATGGTTCAGCCAAACAAAACTTCCAGTGGACTTGGCAGCGTGAATGTTATTGGTCGGGTTTAATGAGAGTGGAATCAATAAGTTCGCATTGGGTTGAGGGGATGGAAGGAGAGGAAGTACGGACAGTGGGTGTAGACTATACTCTAGGAGTGTCTGAATGAGAAAGTGAGAGGACGCAGAGTCGAGGTTAGTTTCTGCACCCACCCACCAAATAAAAAAGAGGTGAGGAATTAGTGCAGGGACGAGTTCAAAATACAAAAGGCTGGCTGCTTCGTTTGGAGAAAGTAGGGGTGGGATCCATGCCATGGGCAGACGGGTTGGCTGTAATGAAAGGAGTACGTTGTTCCATGATATTAAAAGGGGAAAAAAATGAAGATGGATGTGGAAAACTTTGGAGGAATGCATTGTTAAGTACTGCGTTTTCTTCCTTGAGTTTTTTAGCTAGGCTTTTCCCTTATTCCTGAGATTAAGTCTGCTTTTTTTCTTTTTCTTTTTACACCAATTCTGTTAACTGGATCTCTGTTCCTGTTCTCCTTGTTCCCAACTCTATCTTGACAACCTCTTCAGTAACATGAAGTGTCTTGGTCCTTCCACAATTGCTTTTCCTTATCTTCCTTCTTCCTCTGGGCATCCCTGCTGTTCACCAAGCCCTCCCACCCACTCCCAGGCTGTCCCTCCCTTCCAGGGACATCATGAAATTACTGGGGGGTTGATCAGATCATAGCTCCCCAGTGCTCTAGCCTCGTCACTTTGCCTTCACTGCTGTGGTGTCTTCAGTGGGTACTTCACGGGCAGAGATAGTAAATCTTTCATTGTCTGTTTGCAAATACGGGATTCTGAAGACAAATGTGGGTTCTTATGTAGGATTGAAGGCTCTCAGTTGCGTAGACTAAACCAAAGAAACCTTTTCCATGAGCAGTTACTGCGGCCAGTGTTGTTATAGCAACCTCCAGTCTTGTCTAAACTGAGGCTGTGGAGACTGTTTCTAGGTCAGTTCGGTTATTCTCTGGAAGAGAGTAGGGCATCCACTCAGGGCTTCCTAGGGATGGAGTGCACATGTACTTGAAAAAGCATATTCTTAACATTGCTTAGATTTGCTTTTGGTCACGTTTTTAAAAATTTCAAGTCTTAAATAGCATTAAAAGAACCCATAAGGTTTTTATATTTATCAAAAAGAGGCATGGCTTTAAACACACACACACACACACACACACACACACTCACGCTCACACTCACAAAACACTGGTCTGACTTAAAAGCACCTCAATTCATTGGAATCTATCAGTTGTTTAAAGTCTTTTCCAAATATTTTTCTCTGTCTTTATTTCCATTAAACAAGAACTTTGATAGGACTCTCAGATTTTTCACTGTTGTCCCAGTTTAAATTTGTAGGTTCTGTTCACTAAGATTATTTTAGGTGACTGTTTCATGAGTTATGATGGCATGATGTAAGAAGTAGGTGGAGTTGGAGCTGGGGAGAAACCGTCTCTACTACCCAACAGAGGCCATCTGGCAAGTAGCCACAGGCTGCTCACCACCCTCATGAGTGATTGCGGACCTAGATTAATCCCTGGGGGTGTAAGTCAGGAGCAACATATTCTCTAGCATTCGTGGTGCAGTTACTACATGCCAGGTCCTGTCCTAAGCATCTTACATTTGTTTGTTAATTCTTACAACAACCCAGACAGTTATCATTATTTGCTCTGTTTTACTGAAGAAGGAACCAAGGTATGACCAGTTATATAACTTGCCCACCATCCCAGATCATAAACTCTAGAACAGGGGTGGGGAATGTCCATCCCTCAGGCTGTATATGGCTGGCAAAATCATTTGGTCTGGCCCTGCCAAGGCCTCACCAAAGAGAAGCAGTTCCAGCCGTCTCTTTAGGGGTGAGTTAATGAAATGTTTGACCAAATATAGAAGGTTAATTTTTTTTACATTTATCTTTATTGTTGAAAGTACTACAGATGTCCCATTTTTGCCCCCCAATTGACCCCCTCCATGTCGCTCCCACCCCCTCCTCAGGCCTTCACCCCATTACTGACTGTGTCCATGGGTTATGCATATATGCCTATAACTTCTTTGGTAATCTCTTCCCACCCTCCACCCTCCTTCCCTCTTTCCTCTGAAATATGATCATCGGTTGCATGCGTCAATGTCTCTGGATCTATTTAGTTCGTCAGATTCTTTTGTTCATTAGCTTCTTCTTAAAGAAGACCCTTCAACATTTCCTGTAGTGCTGGTCTGGTGGTGATGAACTCCTTTAGCTTTTTCTTATCTGTGAAGTTCTTTATCTGACCTTCAGTTCTAAATGATAGCTTTGCTGGGTAGAGCAATCTTGGTTGTAGTTCCATGTTTTTCATCACTTTGAATGTTTCTTGCCACTCCCTTCTAGCCTGCAAGGTTTCTGTTGAGAGATCAGCTGACAGTCGTATGGGTGCTCCCTTGTAGGTAACTAACTGCTTTTCTCTTGCTGCTTTTAAGATTCTCTCTTTGTCTTTAACCTTTGGCATTTTAATTATGATGTGTCTTGGTGTGGGCCTCTTTGGGTTCCTCTTGTTTGGGACCCTCTGTGCTTCCTGGACTTGTAAGTATTTCTGTCCCCAGGTAAGAGAAGTTTTCTGTAATTCGTTTTTCAAATAGGTTTTTAATTTCTTGCTCTCGTTCTTCCCCTCTGGCACCCCAATAATACGAATGTTGGGCCTCTTGAAGTCCCAGAGGCTCCTTATACTGTCTTCATATTTCTGGATTCTTTTTTCTTTTTGCTCTTCTGGTTGGGTGTTTTTTGTTTCCTCATGTTCCAAATTGCTGATTTGATTCTCAGCGTCCTCTACTCTACTGTTGATTCCCTGTAAATTATTCTTTCAGTTCGTTTAGCCTTCATTTCAAATTGGTCCTTTATTATATTATCAATTTTCTCAGTTATTTCCCTAATAGTATGCTTAAACATCTTTATAAACAAAATTCTGGACTCTGTATCTGTTAGCTTGCTTGGATCTATTTCATTTAGTTCCTCTTCTAGAGATTTCTTCTGTTCT